TGCTCTGATCTCCTCATAACACAGGCCCTTGTTTTTCACCCAGTTGCTCCTGTATTGAGCCCAATAACTTATGACTAAAGTATATCTTCCAAAAAGGCATCCAGCCTGGATGAGAGGCCATCAAGAGATGGAGAATCCAACACTTCCTTGGGAGTTTGATCCCAACTTTTCCATTAATTTGCCCAGGCATGATGTCAGGCTGACTATCAGAGTCATCTCACTTGCCCTTCCTGAATATTGGCACAACAATAGCACTCTACTAGTCTTCTGGAAGTTCCCTGATATTCCAAGATTTATTAAAAATTCACATCAGCAGGCCAGAGAGATCCTCAGCTAGCTCTTTTATGACTCTTGGATACAAGTTATCTGGGCCTGCTGATTTTAAAATGTTTACCCCTAGTAGCTGTTTAACATCCTCCTCACTTACGAATGAACTGAAAAGTACTTGTTTACTTTTCAGTTCATTCGTAAGTGAGGAGGACATTACTTTATCATCCTCAGCTAATCACCTCACGTGATATGAGCACATCATCCTGCTTCTTTCCAAATAAAGAACTGAAATATTTAAACATCACTTTTGCTTTCGCTGCATCATTATTAATAAGTTTACCATCTCCACCTAGCAATAGGCCTATACCATTGCTAAGATTTATTTTGTTTCTAATATTCTTAAACTCTTTCTTATTGTCCTTAGCCCTGCCAGCGAGGGATTCTTCCCTGATGTCTTTAGCTTACCTTATCAATTTTTTGCACTTCATAACTTCCAGTTTATACTGATTGACAGCTACTTCCTTTTCTTTCCATTTGTTATATATTGCCTTTTATTTCTAATTGCTGCCTTCTCTTCACCACTGAGCCAAAGTTGTCAATCTTTCTCGATTGTTCAATCATGGCTTTTTGGCCATCTAACAAACACTTTTTTTTAAAACACCCAATTTTCATTCCCATTCTTCTGTCTAAATTTTTCCTCTCAGTCAATTTTTCTCACAGTTTTCCTCCGCCTTAGGAATTAGCCCTTTTTAAGTGCCAAGAATATATATTTATGGTTGGTACTGTCCTTTGTTTGCCCACATGGAACGTAAACAGATTATAATCACTGGTCCCTAGGCAATCACCAACTTCCAGTCCAGTGATTAATTCATCTTTATCTGTTATAACGAGGTCCAGTATGGAGTTTCCCCATACCAGATACAACTTCTTTTATGACAGGTTTCAGAGTAGCAGCCGTGTAAGTCTGTATCCGTAAAAAGAAAAGGAGTACTTGTGGCACCTTAGAGACTAACAAATGTATTAGAGCATAAACTCTGGTCTCCCCCTCTCCCCTCCCCAGCTCTCCTGCTGGTAATAGCTCACCTTTCCTGATCACTCTTGTTACAGTCTGTATGGTAACACCCATTGTTTCATGTTCTCTGTGTATATAAAATCTCCCCACTATATTTTCCACTGTATGCATCTGATGAAGTGAGCTGTAGCTCACGAAAGCTTATGCTCTAATAAATTTGTTAGTCTCTAAGGTGCCACAAGTACTCCTCTCCAACTCCTTTTATGTTAGGAAATTATCAACTATATTTTTTAGAAACTCCAGTGATGTTTTCTATTGGCTACAGAAGACTTCCAGCAGATGTCTCCCAGATTGAAGTTCCCCATGATAACACAATTGCCCCCATACACACATTACAGACAGGTGCTTAAGAAGTAACTCATCCTGTTCTCTGGTTTGGTTTGGTGGTATGTACCAGACCCTGCACTGGTACCCCCTCCTGGGCTCTGCTAGTTAGCACAAAAGGACTGGAATATATTTCATCATCCTTATACGGCATGAGTCCATCATCCCGCTTCTTTCCAAATACAGAATAGAAATATTTATTGAGAATTTCTGCCTTCTCTGAATCATTATTAACAAGGAACATAGGACACTGGACTGGAAGGAACCTCCTGGGTCAACGGGTCCAGTCTGCTACTATCACAGAACAACCCCATCATATCATCTCATTCATAAATTTATCAAGCTCCATTTTAAAACCAGAAAGGTGTCTTGCCCCCACTCCTCCTACTGGGAGTCAGAAACTGTCTTCTAATTCCCAGCCTACATTCATGCCTGCCCAGTTTATCTCCATTTGTTCTTGAACAATTAACAATTTTAGTGTTCCAGTGATTGCTCTGATTTATAAATCAGTGCAATGATCAGAATCTCTGGAGCTTTCCTTTAAAATCCCAAGTTCTTCACAGTGCGTGTGTCTGATTTTGGAGATGGGGGGGGGGGGGAGGCACAAGTGCTAAACCAAGTGGCAGGTTGTAATGAATATGGGACAGCAGATTCTATGTATTTTAGCACTCCTCCCATTTCCCTTCTTCCTCTTCAGCCAGGAAGCCTCAGCAGCCACTTGCCCAAACAACTAGCCAGTAAAAAAACTTTTGAGAAAAAGCCAAATAATTGCAGGGATGCCAGACAGAGCCATGAGTCACCTAGCAGCAAACGAGCCTGGACTTTGGACCGCAGCCTCCTTGCCCCTTGCTCTACATCTCACCTCAGGAAGCAACTGGTTTAACTAGAAGAGGAGTAAAGGCAGTTTTGACTGGAGGGTCTTTGTCTACATTAGGGGTCGCAGGTTCAGCTGAGCTGTTGTCAGAACAGGTGATCTCTTGGTAAATTTCCCCAGTAGGGAAGTGGCCAAGAGCAGCCTCCCTGCACTGTTGCCTTCACCCCATTCCGCTGGGCCCCCCGCCCTGTTCCTGACATGCCCCTTCCGACCCCACCCAACTTGCTCCCTTCTCCTGCACGCATTGGCCCAGCCCCACCAGTGAGCATGTGCAGCCAGAGAGCTCTCCCCAGGCCAGGTACGACAGGCTCCTACAGAACTCCGCCAGGCTCCTGGCCTCTGGGCTAACAGCACAGGCAGCGCGACAGAGGAACAGGATTGACAGCACACGCACACCCAGCTTCGCCTCTGACTCATGCGCTGGCTGCTCAGACCTCTCTGCCAGTGAAACAGAGACCAAGTCCAAGGACCCCGAGTGGATCCCAGAGGCAAGACCAAGACAGGGACACGCTGTCCCAGCCAGTGGCATTGAGCAATCACTCCACTTCCCTGTATATGTCACTCCTCAGAACACAGGCAACCGGAGCACTCGGCAAGTATTAACCCTCAGTAGGGAGAGAGCTGCCCCCCAACCTGCTCCTTCCAGAGAGCCCCACAGACCCAGGCAGCCACCATCCCTTCCTGCTCTGCCTCTACCACAGCCCAGGCAACTAGCTGCCCACCCCAAAATGCCACACAAGGAGCAGCAAGAATGCAGCCAGCTCAGAAGGCAGCACTCCCAGGTGGCTCAGCCAGCGACTCTGCACATTTCACCCAGATAACAGCAGGCCAGGCGTCTTTCCAACTCAAGCATTAAGGGTGTCATAAATATAAAGGGAAGGGTAACCACCTTTCTGTATACAGTGCTATAAAATCCCTCCTGGCCAGAGGCAACATCCTGTTACCTGTAAAGGGTTAAGAAGCTCAGCTAACCTGGCTGGCACCTGACCCAAAGGACCAATAAGGGGACAAGATACTTTCAAATCTTGGGGGGGGGGTGGCTTTTGTTTGTGCTCTTTGTTTACGTGGTTGTTCTCTCTTGGGACTGAGAGAGGCCAGACAGAAATCCATCTTCTCCAACCCATCCTAATCCAAGTCTCCAATATTGCAACCAGTATAGGTAAGTCAGGCAAGGCAGATTAGTTTATCTTTTGTTTGATGTGAATTTTCCCTGTGTTAACAGGGAGGTTTATTCCTGTTTTCTGTAACTTTAAGGTTTTGCCCAGAGGGGGATCCTCTGTGTTTTGAATCTGAATACCCTGTAAAGTATTTTCCATCCTAATTTTACAGAGGTGATTCTTTTACCTTTTCTTTAATTAAAATTCTTCTTTTAAGAACCTGATTGATTTTTCATTGTTCTTAAGATCCAAGGGTTTGGGTCTGTGTTCACCTGTACCAATTGGTGAGGATTATTATCAAGCCTTCCCCAGGAAAGGGGGTTTAGGGCTTGGGGGTTGTCCCCAAGTGGTCTCTTTCTCTGTTCTTTGTTTAAAAAGCTTGGTGGTGGCAGCATACTGTTCAAGGCCAAGGCAAAGTTTGTACCTTGGGGAAGTTCTTAACCTAAACTGGTAAGAATAAACTTAGGGGGCCTTTCATGTGGGTCCCCACATCTGTACCCTAGAGTTCAGAGTGGGGAAGGAACCCTGACAAAGGGGAACATCTTCCTGGGGATATCATCACCAATTTGTGTGCAAACACACAGGTTTGCTTCTCTCTTAGTGAGCATGTGTGCACCCTTCTGCAATTGTAGCCCTTTCTGCACAGGCCTTCCACGTGGGAGAGGGGAGCATGGCTAGACATCTGTCTGCAGCAGCATGGCAGGGTTTTCCTGAGTCCCCACCACCAGCTGTCGATCCTACGGGGAGAATGTTAAGTGGGCTCTGCTGACTCACTGAGATGGGTTGCTCATTACCCATCTGGACAGAAGGGAGGTGGGAGCAGCTCCAGGTGCGGGAGAAGATATAGGCTGAGAGGGCTAAAGAGGAGCCCTAGGAGCAACTCAGCTTGCGGAGAAGGGCTGAGCTGAATGTTATGCTATTTTAGGGCTCAGTCACAAGGGGGGAGCCAGGATGGTCCCAGCTAGTCTCCCCAAAGGCCACCTCTCCACATAACCCCAGAGACAGATGCAAGCGTTTGGAATTGCAGCTGCTCATTTATCACCTCAGGACCAGACAGGGTGAGACCCAGGCCCACTGCGCTACATTGGCTCAAGCCAGCCATGGCTTTGTCTGCCTCAACACACGCTCAAGAGTCACCGACCACACCAGGCCATGCTCGCCCTTGCATACCATACCATAGCACAGTAAGTTGAGCGGGCGACGGCCCGGGGCGCTGGGTTGCACTAAGCCAAGCGGGCCAAGGTGTGTTGACAAACACACCCAGGTCCCCTTTGCACTAACACCCAGCAGCATCTTTCCCTACCTCATCCACAAACTTCTGCAGGAATGGCTTCTCCTGGAAGGGCTCGGTCCTCAGGCGTCCTGCAAGAGAGATGGGAGTATGAGCCGGGCGGGCAGCACCAACCTGGCCAAACACCAAGCTCGCTGCCCGCACTCTCTGTGACAGGGAGATGAAAGGAGAGGGTGCCTGGTTTTTCATTGTTTTTGAATTACCTGAGGGAGCTCAAATATTACAGTGATTGGGCCATGTAACACCTACACAGGACACCAGCAGCGCTATTATATATTTACAGCAAATATTGTACAAAGGTTGTCGAGTGAGGTGTCTATGACAAGGCGATGGTTTGCTGGTTAGGATGATGCTGTCTGTATGCATGTATCATTTTTGTATTTAAAGTTATAAGTATTGGCTCTGTACTGTCTGTATTTCAAACTTGTGCTCTGCTTCTGGGTGACACCCCAGACAATTTGGCGTCAGCCTAGCCTGCTGGATGGCCCATTAAGGACCATCAGCGACACAACTGACCCACTGGGAGAAGGCAGACACGCCTGGGGACTCAGCAAGGCATGCAGGGACAGAACTCTAAGGTGTTTCCATGCCATGGGATGGACAGCTTGTCTTTGGAACAAAGGAAGCACAGGCCGCATGGCAAGAGACTATAAAAGGCAGCTGCATCTCCTCCATCTTGTCTTCAATCCTACTTTTTACCTCTGGAGGAACTTGGCTACAAACTGAAGCTTTGAACCAAGGACTGAAGGACCCATCCCAGCTGGGGATGTTCTCCAGAGACTTGATTTAAACCTGCCGTTCATTCCACCACTGTTACAAGCCTGAACCAAGAACTTGCCATTACTGTATGTCATTGATTCCATTTAACCAATTCTAGCTCTCATCTATATTTCTTGCTTTTTATGAATAAACCTTTAGATTTTAGATTCTAAAGGATTGGCAACAGTGTGATTTGTGGGTAAGAGCTGACTTGTATATTGACCTGAGTCTGGGACTTGGTCCTTTGGGATCAGGAGAACCTTTTTCTTTTACTGGGGTATTGGTTTTCATAACCATTCATCCCCATACCGAGTGGCACTGGTGGGGATACTGGGAAACTGGAGTGTCTAAGGGAATTGCTTGTGTGACTTGCGGTTAGCCAGTGGGGTAAAACCGAAGTCTTCTCTGTCTGGCTGGTTTGGTTTGCCTTGGTGGGCACAGAAACCCCAGCCCTGGGCTGTAACTGCCCTGCTTGAAGCAATTTGTCCTGAATTGATACTCTCAGTTGTGCCCCGCCAGAGGCAGCATCGTTACAGGGCCAAGCCATGACAGCACAGCAGAAGCCCCTCCAGGTCACTCAGGCTAGTGGGGAAATCTTCTCAGGAAACCCACTAGTAACCATGGCAACATGAAGAATGCAGCCCCTGAGGCCTGAATGAGGGTAGATTTGCACCTCAGCAGCAGTCAGCTGGAAAACACCACAAGAAAGCCCCTTCCTAATGACAGTAGCCATTTCAGCAAAGCAGCCCCAGCGCAGCGGCCGAAGGCCCCATCCTCACTGGGGCTACAGCTGTCTGCCCTGTGACAGCACAGGGTTTCAAAGGCCCCTTGGGAAAACTTGGCTTCAGCACTGTCAGCAAGTCTGGAAACATGCTACAGCCTTTGGGGTTTCCTGCAGTTCAGTAAACATGGCTCCCAGCCCAGGGCAGATGGGTCCAAGGACCTAAGGCCAGCTCCCAGGATGTCTTGGTGAGCAGTACCCTGCAGTGTGGAGCCTCCCTGGTCCCAGTGTCTCTGTGTTGCAGCAAGGGGGCTCAGGAATGACTGTTGCCATGACATTCCTGGGGAGAGGCACTCCCACCCCCCACACAACTGTCCCCAAATGGATGGGGAGATGTTCTGGCTGCCTAGAGCAGCACTTCCACATTGGGCCCCATCTCAGCACACAAGCCAAGGAGCAAGGCCTATGCACCTCACAGAAATGCTGAAGACTTTGGCTAGCGCTGACCATGAGGGTGAGGCTACCTGCACTAGGAGCCCGCAGCAGCCTGTAGGCAACACTCTCCCCAAATCCCCATCACTCCCTGCACCTCAGGCTAAGCTTGCTGCTCCCCAGCCCGCTGGAAGCCATTGTGCTGCCCGAGAACCAGCAGCAGCAGCAAGAGGTAAACACATGCATTTTGGTGTGTCCTGGAAAAATGGTGACTGCCATTCCAAGCTTCCTCTGCAGCCAAGCTGAGGGTGGGGGAGGGTCTCCTGCTGCACCCACCCCTTCACACAAAACTCACCCAGAGACTACTGCCTCAGAGCGAGGCCCACTATCTTCCCCAGCACCCTGCAGTGGCATCCTACCATGCAGCTCTGAAGCCAGAGGTAAGGAGTGAGCCCTGCCAGCACATATGGTGGCATTCATAGATCTTAGGCCTGGAAGGGACCTCTTGGGTCCTACTGCAGTCAAGCCATCACCCAAGGGCAGGAGCTCCTCTTTCCTACTCCTACAAACAGGAAAATCAGCCGTTCTGTGGACACCCCTGGACATGGGCCCTTGAGGACATCCCAGCGAGACCACTGGGGGTTGGTCCCAATACCTGGCTTGCCTGGCCCTGTTGCTAGCTCCAAGCCATCATTTCTCCATCACCACCATGAACTGTTCCTCAAGAGCAGATCAGGTGATTGCTCCATCCGCCAACAATGGGACAAACTCTGCAGATGGGAAGCCCTGCCCCTCATGTCATACTAAGCAACCCCTCTGAGGTGTTTGGTGGGCACAAAGTGACTGGAGAATGACACCTCCCAGCCGCCTTGCTGGCTCTTGCATCAGGCATACCTGCTGATTCTACACCCACAAATAAGATTCTTTGGACTCCCACAAGCCCTGAAGATCCAGCACAACACCAGAGAGAGCCGGAGTCTGGTCTGGCTCACGTCCTAACCTAGTTCCAAGCACAGGCCATGCACTGCCCTTACTCACACCCATCCCTCCAAGGGGGATAGCAGGTGTCACTGTGCAAGGGACTCGCCTTGCACAATCCCTATTCCTGGGGGTGATGCACAAGCCTTAAAGACCCCAGCTCACCCTTCACCTTCCAGCAGGCATTTGTGGCACCAGTTAGTAGGAAAACTCTCCCCACAGGTAAGGAGAGCAAGTCTGAGCTGGAATCACTGAGATTACAGGGCCTGGAGCACCTGACATCACTTTCCAGCACTGCAATTACCAAGGGGGCTGTATAAATAAACAATGAAACAGCCTGCTCCCCATTCTCAGGCCCAAGCAGCTTGCAGAGAGCAGTGTGTCAGACAAGCAGCACTAGGCCAGTTCCCAGCTACCTAGTGGATCCTGGGGAGCTGGTCAGGAGCATAGAAGCCCTCTGATGTGCAAGGGAAACTCTTTGAGGAAATCAGGCCATGCTGATGAAAAGCAGAGCATGCCTCCCTGTTAACACTTCCCTCCAGCCCGACACGTGCAGAGCCTCAGCTGCGAGTCGAATCTGCACGCCGGAAGCATCACCAGCTGAGGGTGCGACCCAGCACCCCTTCTAATCACCAAGGGACTCCACCCACTAGCGACAGCTCTGCCAGTCCTTATATCACTCCGCTCTGGACACTGTGCTCTGCCAGCTGGGGATTAAACCCAGGCCTCTCGTTAACATCTCAGAGGCTCCGCACTGGAAACAAACCCATGCACACAGCCATGCTTTCAATGTTCTTCTAAGGAAGTCGAGGGGAAGAGCCGGGAGCCCCTGGTCCCTCTCCAAATGCTCTGCAAGCTACTGCATGTGGGAAAAAAGCCTGACTCTGCTCCAGCGCTCCTTCACTAGCTGGCTTTGGATCCAGGCTCTTGGTAAACAGCCAGGTACTCTAAGTAAAGCAAAGAGCCCCTTGGCGACTCCCCAAGTCCTTCGGCTACTGGTCAATGTCCATTCCTCCTCCACCTCTCCCCTGGGGACTACTCCCAAGGCTTCTGGCTACTGTCTGACTGCTGTAGCTGCTGAACATGAAACACAAGCCTCACTGGGTAATAGCCAGACTGAGCACTTTGTGCCAACCCTGTGCAGGGAAGGAAACTCACTCCCTGCTCTCTCCAGCCCTGGTTTCCCCATGAGTGGAACAGCCCTCCATACCTCTGCTGAGAGCAGCCCCGCTCTCTCTGTAGTCTTCAATCTCAGCATCCTTCTGCACCAGGAGAGACGCCAGCTCTTGCAGCTGGTACTGCAATGCCAGGCTCATCCTGATGAGGGGCCGCACAAGATGACAGGAAATCTGGGTGGGAAAGACAAAACAGGGAAGGCCAAGAAGGGCACTTAAACGGGGTCTCTAGAACAAAAGCGGTTGAAGCAGGTCAGTCTACAGCAGCAATGTATTGGCAACAGCTACAGCCAGAGTTTACTCAAGATTTCTCAGTGCTCACCAGTCACAGGAATGCCTGTCTGCCATTCCAGCATCTACCAGCAAGAGGCACTCTGTGGAACAAATCAGGTGCACTGGCTGGACAGGGAGGTCTCTGCCACCCTTGCCTCTCCCAGTAGGAGGCACTGTAGGGAATGGCATAGAAATGTTGGCTGTGAGAGGAGCTGTAGAGAATGGGGCAGGAGCTCTGACGGTGCGATAACTTCCATCTACCCCAGTCCCAGCCTCTCCCAGCAGGGGGCGCTGTACAAAACAGCACAAGCAGTGAGGAACAAGATGGACATGTGATGGAGAAGGTTCAGTACAGGAGACACTAACTCCACAGACAGCTATGGGAGTGGCAAGAGACTCTTTCAGTCTAATCAGCCCAATGAGAACTTCTGCAAGCAACACAAACAGCTCCCTCTGAGCCTCATGCCCACCCCCAGTGGGCCCCAACGTGAATTCTGACACTGGAAACAGACATGGCTGAGACTGAAAAGCAAAACAAACCGTGCTGTCAAATTGCAGCTTTAGGAAATTGGGAGACTTTCACAGGAAGATGAGATCAAAGACATGAGGAATCTCTACCCCAAATCCTATCCAGACCCTTGCTGCTGCCACCCATGCACCCATCTACACCCAGCCCAGGCCACCTCATCCTTGCCCAAGGCTTCTCAGTGCAGAGGGTCCTGCGCTGGTCCTCAGTGTGCATTGGATGAACCCTGCTCCACCTTGCACTAAGGGCACTTTCTCCATGGGACACACACTCTCTGCAGCTTCCTGGCCCTCATGTCAGAGGGGTTCAAGTCAGGCCAGGCTGACCTCTGCTCCCAGTGGACCATCTCACCCAGCAACTCCAGTGAGATGGACACAGGAAACAGCCCCCTCACTGTCATCTGTGGGACAGCCTCAGCAAGACCCATGCAGCAGGGCCCAATACGCCCTCAGAGCCTGTCTGACAAAACCCTACTCATTCTGTGCTGCATTATCATCAGCAAATCCAAGCCCCTGACATGGGGGTATAGTGAATACGGCATCACTCACAGGACACCACAACCCCCAGAGGCCCTGGGTCCATGGCACACTCGCTGCAGAGAGCTGGGGGGTTGAATTCTGCAGCCTCCCTCCTCTTTCAGCCAAAGGTGCAAGCCATGGTCACTACAGGTCCCAAAATGCAATGCGGCCTCCACTCAGGTCAAGATGCTGGGACCTGTGGTCCCCATGGGCCATCCCTCCACTTGCAGACCTGAGGGAGGGAGCAATCTGCTCCATTCTAGGCCAGTTCGGCACAGGCCTCAGATTCTTGATGAGCGGCTAAGCAAAGTCTGGGCCCCATTCCTGCATCACTAACAGTAACACTTAGCATTATGCAGTGCGTCCCATTGCCTAAGTGCTTTACAAACATTAACCAAGATACGAACTAACAGGACAGTGGCAGCTGCTGGTTCACAGCTCGCTCTATCACTCCGATAACGCTGTGGGATTCATACCCTCTTTGAAGGGCAGGAGAATGTCTTTCCAGAGCCATGTGTCTTGGCCCAAGTGAGCTGCATGGGTCTGCCCCACATCCTGTGCTCTTAATGGAACCAGAGCTAATGTGGCTCACCTTTCGTTACTTCTCCACCTGTGCACCAGCAGAGACGGGCACGGCTCTGGGAAGTTCTTGCTGCTGGAGAGCCAGCAGGGGGAACTGACACACGGGTCAGGTTTTGGTATGCCCCATTTGTTCTTTGTAAAAGGATTTCATGGCTGGTGAAAGGAGCTGCACTGGCAGGCTGGAGACTGACTCCTCCATGTACCGCAGGAACGGCAGAGCCTGGGCAAGTGCCACCCCTGCACACAGACAAAACTCTGCTAGGGAGGATGACCCTGTGGGGTAAGCTCCATCCAGCCCCATCACCCTTTCAGTCCCTGGCATTGCCAGTGGGTCAATAAGTGCCCACCACACGGATGGATTGTGAGGACATCTGTCCCAATAGCAACAGGTCTGAGACCCCAGCTCTGCTCTTTCTAAAGAGCAAGGGGAGAATCTTAAGTGCAGATATTTCAAACCCACAACTTCAGAACTTTCAGGAAGGTCCAATATTGGTCCTGACCAAAGGGCCAATGCCCTTTAAAGGGGCCCCGCCAGGGAGCCTCATCCTGTCCTCTTGCTAGCTGTCCTGTCCCACCCTTCCACAGTCATGGTGAATGAGCGGGGAGCGGGTTTTATAAATGGTATTACAGCAAATTTTGCAGCAGAGCAGAACATGCACATGCACGGTCCCAGCAAGCAGCACTCACAGCCTGCCTAGGAGGCCCCTTCCCAGCTACGGCTGCCTCAGCTTCTCTGGGGGAAGTCACAAATCACTTGCCACTGAGCTGCCTGTGTCGACTAGCAACATTTACTAGTTAGAAGAAAAGGAGGACTTGTGGCACCTTAGAGACTAACCAATTTATTTGAGCATAAACTTTTGTGAGCCGATGAGGTGAGCTGTAGCTCACTTAAGCTTATGCTCAAATAAATTGGTTAGTCTCTAAGGTGCCACAAGTCCTTCTGTTCTTTTTGCAGATACAGACTAACACGTCTGCTACTCTGAAACCGTTTATTAGTTAGGTGCACAGCACCCTCTGGTGCACATTGGACACCACTACAATTTAATCAAGCTTCAGAGAGCACACAGCCTTAAAGACAATTGCATGTAAGAACAAAGAATGCCCCAAATTTCCCCTATGCATACTACTGTGGAGGAATACACTCCTCACCCGCAGAGGCACTGAGAAAGCTGGAAGTGAAGCCCTCACAGGGCAATTTGTTCTATAAAAGAGCAAGGGAACGTCCAATCAGAGGGGTGTGCAAGGGGACAAGCAGGGGTAAGCCCCCCCATCAGTGGGGGGCACAAAACTCTTCCAGGGCCAGGGCAGTACCGGGGCCATGGCAGCTCCTCCAGCCCTGGGGCCGCAGGGGAGATCCAGCTCCTCTGGCTGCCAGGAGAGAGTGAGCTTCTCCATCTGCTGGAAGTGCGGAGGAGAGAGCCAGCCCCTCTGGCCATGCGGGCACAGAAAGTGCCCCCTCCAAAAGTGACCAAATTTTTATTCCTGTACACACCCCTACATCCAATTAAACTGAAAAGCAGTGAATTCAAAACTGGTCAAAAGAAACACTTTTTCATAAACTCTCAATTAGCCTGTGGCACAAGAAATCATCAAAGCGGCATCAGCTATTTATATGGATAATGGGAACATCCAGAGTTACAACAATAAGAAAGTTTTTTAAACCAAATGTTTCTGGCAGGGCTATAAACCTTCATTCTTCCGGGCATGTGCCAATCTCTGACCTAGGGACAGCCATCCCATCACTGCCCAATGCAGAGTTCCCTGCACCTCCTTTTGAACAGCTGGGACTGGCTTCTGTCAGAGGTAAGAAACTGGCTGGAGGAGCCCTACTCTGGGCCAGCCTGGCCATTTGTGTTCCTAACTAACCAGGCACCTGGTGTGCTTGGTTCCTGATTTTCTTTCTGGTCCCAGTTTTGAATCTCAGGCTGAAGCCTCCTAGCTGTTTGCATGGTGCCACCTACTAAAAGTAATTACCCCAGACAGACAGCCTCTTCCATCCTGCAGGTACACAGAGCACTGTACAAAGGTCAAGGGACATAAAAGCACAGACCAGAATCACGTCCCCTACCAAAGAATCAGTTGCCTCCAATGAGACAACATCAAGTAGTACTGCGAAACAGTTTGGCAGGAAGTGAGCAAGCCTTGTTTCCCAGCTGGAACTGCAGGAGGAGTTTTGGGAGAGAACAAAGCCACTCGGAAGCTCTATAAGAGCTGGACTGTTAGCTGAAAAAGCCAAAGCACCTTTCATTACCAGGTGGACAGAGCCTCAGTTTCATGTTTCAACCAAAACACAGACCTCTAGCAGCACAGCATTGCTTAGCACCGCACAAAGGCACTGGGGTCAGCACTGGATCCAAGAACAGAGCACTCCCACTCCTTGCAGCATAGCGCGCCACCTAGTACCACACTGGGGCCCTACTCCTTACTGAGCCAGCTACCTCGCTCCTTGTTTCATCTACACATTCCTTAGACTAGAACTTGCCTCCCATTCCTGGCCCCCAATAACTTACATTGGAGAGAATTCAAAGAAGAGCGACAAGAATGATTACAGGATTTGAAAACCTGCCTCATAGCGACAGACTCAAGGAGCTCAATCTATTTAGCTTAACAAAGTGAAGGTTAAGAGGTGACATGATCACAGTCTGTAAGTACCTCCATGGGAAAAGAATATTTAATAATGGGCTCTTCAGTCTAGCAGACAAAGGTCAAATACAATCCAATAGCTTGAAGTTGAAGCTAGACAAATTCAGATTGGAAATAAGGTGTACATTTTTAATGGCGGAGAGCAATCAACCATTGGAACAATTTACCTGGGGACGTGGTAGATTCTCCATCCCTGACAATTTTTAAGACTGGCTGCTTCTCTAGAAGATCTGCTCTAGGAATGATTGTGGAGGGCATTCTCCAACCTGTGCTACACAGGAGGTCAGACTAGACGATCACAATGGTCACTTCTGGCCTTGGAAACTATGAAACTCTGCTTAGCTTGAGAGTTCCAATGGAAGTTTGATGGCAGGACAAGATCGACACCTAAGGAACCAAGCATATGCCTCTCCCTATTCCTCCGTGCATCTATCTCATCATGCGACCCCACCACTACACCCCGCCAGCGATGACAGGCTTCATCACCAGCTTCGCCCACAAGCCCCATTGCACTTTCTTCTATGGTGACCCATATGTAAGGAACTGAGCTAGTCCATAAAGCCGCCACCCTGGACATCTTCAGATCCCTCCCCTCTTCCAGGCAAGTGGCTTGGAGGGCCCCCCCAATACCCACTTGGCTCATGTTAATGACTATCCTTGTCCCAGCTCCCCTTGTTTGCTACATCCATTTATTGTATCTCACTTAGATGGCAAGCTCTTTGAGCCAGCAACCATCTCTGTCCAACACAGCACGGCCCTGCTCCTGGAGGAGGCCTCCAGATGCTGCTGTCACAAAAATAATTAATGCAAGGAATGAATACAAGGCAGCACTACGGCCTATGCCAGATACTCAACAATGGTCCCTTCTGGCCTTAGTATCTATGAATGGCTCTAGGAAACAGTGCTACGCAGCCCCAGCAGCTCTTCAGCTCCATCCCCATCCCTGGAAGGGCTAAGCAGGGTACTTGACTTTTACGGACACCAACTCAGGAATCCCCCCAACACCCCTGGGAGGTGGGGGAGGGGAGAATACTCTTTCCCACATCCCACAGGAGGTGAAACTGTGGCACTGAGAAAAGCAGTGACTCGGCCAAGGATACATAATGAGCCGGCGGCAGAGCCAGTGTCAGAACTCAGGCCCTTCTAGGGCCCAGCTTGGTGCTCGTTCCCCAAGGCTGCACTGTTTTATTATCAGGCTTATTGTGATTGCTTTGGGGCAGGGGCAGGGGCAGGGTCCTGCTGTGCTGGGTGCTGCATGCACACAGACAGAGATAGGAGGTTGGAGGTTGCCAACTTCGGTTGGACAAATTCCTGGAGGTTTCATCACATGACATTCTCTTTAATGAAAGACTAATCTTTAATTCATGGTTTGTATTCCATTGGATTGCATTTGACCTTTGTCTGCTAGACTGAAGAGCCCATTATTAAATATTTGTTCCCCATGGAGGGTTGGCAACCCTAAGAGATAGTCCTTGGCCGGTGGAGTTGACAGTCTAACCTGAGCAGAATCAGGAAGGGGCTGTGTCACACAGCAGGGGTGACAGCAGGGGAGGGAAGCAAGGGTCAGATCGGGGGATGCGGGCAGTTAGTGCACACCTTGGTAACTCCAAAACCGCCACAAGATTTTTTAAAATCAATTAACTCAGCTCCCGCCACCCACCGCAGCTCCTCACTCTCCCTGACTGGCTGAAGTTTTGCCGAGCATCTCAGAAGGAGGGGCAGGCATGTGGCGCATCGCAGAACCCTTTCCTCACCATCTCCACGGCAGCTGTGGGGCAATGGAAAACCCAGTAGAAGGGTAGTCCGGAGAGCTCACTTTTCACATGGATGGTGAGTTTGCTGGGGGTCCGTTGGCAGGTGAAGGAGTTGGCATCACTCTCTCTTCCTTCCAGCAAAGGGCCCATCAGGTTGCTCAAGCGATTCAGGAAAGACGACACATGGGCTGTCAGCCGCTTGTTCAGCTCCTGGGAAAGCCCAAATGGAAAGGTGCAGTTAGTGGAAGCAGCAAAGCACCCTGGAGACCCCAATGCTAGGCTTACTCAGATCAGGTAGAAACCCCAGCAAATAGGGTCCATCCCAGTTCATTCTGTCCCAAGGCTCCCCACTAACATCCTTAGGACTGTCACTGCAGGCAGCTTAGCCACACATCCTCCTTCACATTCCCTTAGCCAATATAGAACAAAGCCTCCAATGGAACAAGCAGGACTGAGAGCAACAGACCTCCATCTGGTCTATGCTCGACAAAGAACCTTTCCTCACCAGTTCTCCCCATGCCCGTCATTGCCTGGGATCTGGACATTCCCTCCTGACCCACCAGATCACCAGCTCTGGGCAAGTGGCGTTCGAAAGGGCAGGATGTAGAAGGCGTAATGAAATTTTATCCCCATGTGGTTCCTGGGATGCCCTCTCCAATATCCCACTGCCCTCTTATTACCACCCAGGGCTCTCCTGTGCTAGGACACCTCTCAGCTGCTCCAGGCTGGCTGAGAAACTGTTGCAGCCTAGCCCACCTGCCAACACAGACAAGTGGGAAGCAGCCATTGTAGTATATGGGAGTAGCCAAGGGACGGAGGCAAGACTCCTCGGCCCATCACCATCCACTCCCCAGCAGACGCCAAACTCTATAAAATACTCAAACGTTAAACCCAGTGATCAGGGTAACAGTCCCCACAAGGGGCTCCAAACAGGCCCTGCTCCCATCTGCCCCTTGGCCCGGAGACAGAGGGGACCTAAAAGAGAAGTAGATGGTCGCTTGTGCTGCCTGGCCTGTTTCTGAAACTACAGACATCATTAAAATGAGCATGTAACTGAGGCTGCAGAAACTGCCAGGGTAGCATCCCTGGAGGAGCGGTCCTGAAAAAGAAGCTGCTGGTAGCCTCTGACCTGGCCACTAAAGCTAACAACAGTCTCTCCCTTGATGGCCATACCCAGTCCTATGGCATCACAATCACCAGAAAGATGGGGGAAGGAGGACAGGCTGCCAGAGTGAGACACTGCTAATGCACTGGCCTTGCACCCCTGGAAACAAGCTTCCATCCCAGCCTACAAGGGAAGTGTGTCTGATGGCCTCACCCCAAGCGATGTCTCTCAGAATCACAGAACCACCAGTTTGGTACAATGTCTGAGGAGGAGGAATCCAGGACTGGAACAGCCAGGGGTACTGACTCAGAACTGAGGGGCACTGACAGAGCTGTGGGGAGGAAAACCAGGACTGGAATAGAAGGGAGGCTGCAGATCAGGATTGAGGCGCATCAGCAGAGATTGAGTGCAGGAGCCCAGGACTAGCATAGCAGGGAATGCTATAGGTCAGAATGGAGAGGAATCAGCAGACCTGCATAGGACTTCCCACATCAAGGCCTTCTACCCTAGTCCTACTGAAGCTGTCATCCCCCCTCTGCGTGTCCTGTAAGATCATACTGGAATGTTAGCTGGCTTACGCATAAAAGGGGGTTTGTGGATTTTGCAAACCTCATTCCAGACTCACCTTGGACCTTTTCCCAACGATATCCGTGTCTGCACGCTCATACCAAACACTGCTGAGGTCAGAGATCAGCAAGACGTAGCCGGTTTCTTTGAAACAAGCCTTGGCAATAAAAGTGAATTCACCAAAGCAAACTGAAGCCCAAGGCTGTGTCAGGAGGCTGCTATCTAGATCTTCAGAGCCCTCCATCCTGCAAGAGAACAAACAGGCTCAGACAGCAGCACTCCCAGCAAAGGAAGAGCACAACTTCCACCAGACCCCACTCCCTGGAGAGAACAAGCTCCAGGAAAGCTTATGTGCGCCTCTGAGACACCTTTGCATCCCCACTGGCTCACACTAGCCTTGAGGCCTGCAGCTGATGATACCAAACTAGCACTGAACACAAACATCATTCCAGAAAGCCTTTGACAAGGTCCCTCACCAAAGGCTCTTACATAAATTAAGTGGTCATGGGATACGAGGGAAGATCCTTTCATGGATTGAGAACTGGTTAAAAGACAGGAAACAAAGGGTAGGAATAAATGGTAAATTTTCAGAATGGAGAGGGGTAACTAGTGGTGTTACCAAGGGTCAGTCCTATGACCAATCCGATTTAACCTATTCATAAATGATCTGGAGAAAGAGGTAAACTGTCAGGTGGCAAAGTTTACAGATGATACTAAACTGCTCAAGATAGTTAAGACCAAAGCAGACTGTGAAGAACTTCAAAAAGATCTCACAAAACTAAGTGATTGGGCAACAAAATGGCAAATGAAATTTAATGTGGAGAAATGTCAAGTAATGCACATTGGAAAAAATAACCCCAACGATACATACAACATGATGGGGGCTAATTTAGCTACAACTAATCAGGAGACAGATCTTGGCGTCATTGTGGATAGTTCTCTGAAGACGTCCACGCAGTGTGCAGCAGCAGTCAAAACAGCAAACGGGATGTTAGGAGTCATTAAAAAAGGGACAGAGAATAAGACGGAGAATATCTTATTGCCCTTATATAAATCCATGGTATGCCCACATCTTGAATAGTGCGTACAGATGTGGTCCCCTCATCTCAGAAAAGATATGCTGGCATTAGAAAAGGTTCAGAGAAGGGCAACTAAAATGATTAGGGGTTTGGAACGGGTCCCATAGGAGGAGAGATTAAAGAGGCTAGGACTTTTCAGCTTGGAAAAGAGGAGACTAAGGGGGGAGATGATAGAGGTCTATAAACCCATGAGTGGTGTGGAGAAAGGGAATAAGGAAAAGTTATTTACTTGTTCCCATAATATAAGAACTGCGGGCCACCAAATGAAATGAATGGGCAGCAGGCTTAAAACAAATAAAAGGAAGTTCTTCTTCACTCAGTGCACAGTCAACCTGTGGAACTCCTTGCCTGAGGAGGTTGTGAAGGCTAGGACTATAACAGGGTTTAAAAGAGAACTGGATAAATTCATAGAATCATAGAATCATAGAATATAAGGGTTGGAAGGGACCCCAGAAGGTCATCTAGTCCAACCCCCTGCTCAAAGCAGGACCAATTCCCAGTTAAATCATCCCAGCCAGGGCTTTGTCAAGCCTGACCTTAAAAACCTCCAAGGAAGGAGATTCTACCACCTCCCTAGGTAACGCATTCCAGTGTTTCACCACCCTCATAGTGAAAAAGTTTTTCCTAATATCCAATCTAAACCTCCCCCACTGCAGCTTGAGACCATTACTCCTCGTTCTGTCATCTGATACCATTGAGAACAGTCTAGAGCCATCCTCTTTGGAACCCCCTTTCAGGTAGTTGAAAACAGCTATCAAATCCCCCCTCATTCTTCTCTTCTGCAGGCTAAACAATCCCAGCTCCCTCAGCCTCTCCTCATAACTCATGTGTTCCAGACCCCTAATCATTTTCGTTGCCCTTCGCTGGACTCTCTCCAATTTATCCACATCCTTCTTGAAGTGTGGGGCCCAAAACTGGACACAGTACAATTCATGGAGGTTAAGCCCATTAATGGCTATTAGCCAGGATAGGTAAAGAATGGTGTTCCTAGCCTCTGTTTGTCAGAGGGTGGAGATGGACGGCAGGAGAGAGATCACTTGATCATTGCCTCTTGGGTTCACTCCCTCTGGGGCACCTGGCGTTGGCCACTGTCGATAGACAGGATGCTGGGCTGGATGGACCTTTGGTCTGACCCGGTGTGGCCATTCTTATGTTCATAGTGACGCCTGGCCTCAGCTCCTTCCATGTGCAGCTCATAAGACAGGAAACAGGCCCCGTGGCCTGGAGAAATGTACCATTACAGGAGTGAATGAATGGCCTGCCCAGGGGAGACTATTCTTTGGCCATTTTGCATTGCAGTTGCTGTTCCATTTTTAAATAAATAATGCTGGTTATCAGAGAAACAAGATGGGCAGCACTAATGACGACCTTAGAAACCTCTGTACTCGGCCCAGCTTCTCCTCCTGCCAGATCCCATAGGCACATCACAATCCAGTGTTTGTGAATTCCCAATCACAGGGCTGCCCTGGCAGCACAAACAGTGAGTTATAATCTCACTGCAAGGACAAACTGGAGAAAGAAATGGTCTCTCCCTTGATGGCCATACCCAATTCTATGGCATCACAATCACCAGAAAGATGGGGGAAGGAGGACAGGCTGCCAGAGTGAGACGCTGCTAGTGCACTGGCCTTGCACCCCTGGAATCAAGCTTCCATCCCAGCTGGACAAACAAATCTGGATCAAAATATCACATGGGTGAAGGGGTTTGTGTTTCATCGTAAGAAGTCCCAGGAGAGTCCTACAACAGCTACAACTCCCAGCATACAATTCTCTTCAGTCCAACCATGGAGCATTGCATGTTGGGACCTACAATCTCCACAGCCTGCTTTTGAATATTAAAGATGATTGGCAAAGGAAAAAGCATGGGCTTGTGCCCTTTTCTGTGTCTTTACGAAGGACAGGGATGGCTCAAGAAGAGATGGGTCCCACCCCCCCCTTAAAAAAAATAGTTCTGAGGATCGCTTTTCACTAGAAATTCAAGTCCCATCTGGTTTTTTCCTAGGAGATGCTCTGGGAATGGCTAGAGGTGCCAATATTCTGTCTCTGACAGCGGCCAGGACCAGGCACTTTAGAGGGAAGGAAAAGAACTGGGCCATTATCGGATGATCCATTCCCTATTGTCCAGCCCCAGGTTCTGGCAGTTGGAGGTTTAGGGACTTCCAGAGCACTGAAATCAGTTATACTTTTGGCCTTCACAACATCCCCTGGCAGTGAGTTAAATAGGTTGACTGTGTGTTGTGTGAAGAAGTCTTTCCTTGTATTTGTTTCAAACCTGATGCCTATTAATTTCACTGGGCGACCCCTGGTTCTTGTGTTATGTGAAGGGGTAAATAACACCTCCCGGTTCACTCTCTCCAAACCAGTCATCGTCTTGTAGACCTCTCTCAGATCCCCTCAGTATGGCCCGGGACCCAACCCCATGCTGCAGGTATCCCTGAACCTCCAATTGCCTGAAGTGGGGACTGGACAGCAGGGGATGCATCACCGGGTAATTGCCCTGTTCTGTTCATTCCCTGGGAGGCACCTGGCACTGGCCATGGCAGGAAGTCAGGACACTGGCCTAGGTGGACCGTGATTGGTCTGACCCAGTCTGACCTCTCTCATGTTCGTAGCCATCTCTTTTCTAAGGCGAAGAGGAGCAGTCTTTCTCATCTCTGCTGAGGGGACCAGAACGACACGCAGCGCTCGGGCGTCACACGAGGGAATGCCCTTCGCACTGCTTCTACCCTCGCTTTCCCCTTACTCCTGCTGCGACGTGCCCGAGAAACACTTCGGGGGAAAGACCCCGTCCATGGACGCACGTGGGGGTGGGAAGAGGGACAGCAGGGGGGCCTCCACAGGCACAAGGGACTTCAGTGCCCCCAAACCCCTCACCTCAGCCCCCCAAAACCTCTTCCTCTTCCCCCGCCCCCAACCCCCCAAAAACCTCTTCCCCTCACCCCCACTTCAGCCCCCCAAAACCTCTTCCCCTCACCCCGCCCTCACCTCAGCCCCCCAAAACCTCTTCCCCTCACCCTGCCCTCACCTCAGCCCCCCAAAACCTCTTCCCCTACCCCCGCCTCAGCCCCCCAAAACCTCTTCCCCTCACCCCGCCCTCACCTCAGCCCCCAAAAACCTCTTCCCCCACCCCCACACCCAACCTCAGCCCCCCAAAACCTCTTCCCATACCCCCGCCTCAGCCCCCCAAAACCTCTTCCCCTCACCCCACCCCCGACCTCAGCCCCCCAAAACCTCTTCCCCTCACCCCACCCTCACCTCAGCCCCCCAAAACATCTTCCCCCACCCCCACCCCCGCCCCCAAAACCTCTTCCCCCACCCCCACACCCACCTCAGCCCCCCAAAACCTCTTCCCCTTGCCCCGCCCCGACCTCAGCCCCCCAAAACCTCTTCCCCTCACCCCGCCCTCACCTCAGCCCCCAAACTTCTTCCCCCACCCCCGCCTCAGCCCCCCAAAACCTCTTCCCCTCACCCCACCCCGCCCTCACCTCAACCCCCAAAACCTCTTCCCCCACCCCCGCCTCAGCCCCCCAAAACCTCTTCCCCTCACCCCACCCCGCCCTTACCTCAACCCCCAAAACCTCTTCCCCCACCCCCGCCTCAGCCCCCCAAAACCTCTTCCCCTCGCCCCAGCCCGTCTCACCCTCCTCTGCCCCGCTCCGCCCCCCCCCCGTACCGTGCGCGCCGCCCGGCTCCCGCGTGAGGCGCCACCCGCCCGGAGGAGGAGATTCCCCCCGGCGCGCGCGCTGCTGATAGGGGCGGGGCGGGGCGGGGCGGAGCCGGCAGTGGGCGGGGCCAGGCAAGCCGCGCTGCGCGCTGCGCGCTGCTGGAGGGGCGGGGCGGAGCCGGTAGTGGGCGGGGCCAGGCAGGCCGCGGCGCGCGCTGCTGATAGGGGCGGGGCGGAGCAGGCAGCGGGCGGGGCCAGGGAGGCCGCAGCGCGCGCTGCTGGAGGGGCGGGGTCAGCCCTGCTCGCGGGACCTGCGGAACTCCCTGCCACGTGGCGGGTTCCTGCAGCAGGGTCCAGCCATGGCTGAGCCAGGACAGCCCTCGGCTCTGGGGTCCCTGAGCGCTGGGGGGCGGGGCACTCGCCAGTGGCCCTGGTCCCATCATTCCCCTGCAGTGCCCGGCACCAACCATGGCCACAGGCAGGCCGCTGGGCTGGAGGCCCCAGCCTGCCCCAGCGGGGCCGTTCTTATGGTCCTGCAGGGAGCCTGGCAGGGCAGCAACTGACCCTAGGTCTCCAGCCCAAACCACCGGGCCCTGCCCCACTGGTGACCGTTTCCCCGCTGGCGTGCACACGCTGCACACGCTCAGCCTGCCGAGCCCAAAATAGGGGGCGTGCCACCGGACGGAGGAACGAAGACTATTCCTGCGGGGAAAGTGCAGTGCAAGGTGCGGCTGCTTGGTGCTGCAGTTCCCAGCCTTCAAGGCCCGATCTATCGCACCGAAGACTCGGCAGCGCTTGGCAGCCCACCACCATCACGGGGATCACTGGCGTTCCAATCCGGCCAGCCCACATGCCACCTGCCTGTGCCCTGCGAGCCCCCAGCTGACCGTACGTGACACGGTTGGAGAACTACCAGTTCAGTGTCACCGGGGCTGGCTGTAACACCAGTTTCATGATGCTTTGTTTCTGACCTGAATGTTTTCCAACAACAAAAGTGAGTGGGGAGCCCCAAGGCTGTGTGGAATGGAGGTAGCTTTGGGACTGAAAAGAGTGGCAGCCCATTGGGGAAATGTGCACCCCACTCCCGTGGAATGTGAGAGTCTAAAGGGGACTGCACCTGCCCCAGGGGATGTTACCCCCAGATCCTGGCCCAATTCCAACTCATGCATTTCCACTCTGCCTCGTTAAATCCCTTTGGCACTTCCCTTTGCACACTAGGAGTGTTCATAATTTCCTACCCTAGATTGCTGTGTAGCATTCCTGTGTGCATTTCAATGCTGGCTGGGTGATCCATATGTATGAGCTATGAGGTCTTTTGGCAAAAAAAGCTAATGCAATTTTTGGTTGCTTTAAGAGAGGCAGGGCATGCAAGTCACGGGAGGTGATAGACCGCACGACTCTGCACTGGTCAGGTCTCAGCTGGAGACCTGGGCCCAGCTTTGGTCCCCGCTGTATAGAAAGGATGGAGAGAAACTGGAAAGGATCCTGAGGCGAGCGACAGGGATGATCACAGGGATGGAATGCAAGTCGGACGAGCAGAGGCTGAAGGAACTGGGTATGTTCAGTTTGGAAAAGAGGAGATTGCGGGGGGGCATGATAGGGGTCTTCAAATACTTGAAAGGCTGCCACAGATAAGATGGCGAAAAGTTTTTCTCTCTTGCCACGGGGGGCAGGACAAGAGGCGATGGGTTCAAACGACAGAAAGAGCAGGTTTCGATTAAATCTCAGGAGAAACGTCCTCCCCGTAAGAGCAGTCAGACAATGGCACAGACGCCTCCGGAGGTTGTGGAAGCTCCTTCCCTGGAGGTTTTCGAGAGGAGGCTGGAGCCGTCTGTCTGGGATGGGTGAGACCCAACAAGTCCTGCATCTTGGCAGGGGTTAGATGGGATGACCCGTGCGGTCCCCTCTAACCCTGTGGGTCTGTGGTTCTACACACCCCAGCTGTGTTCATGGTCAGCTCCTTGACTGCTCTGCCAGGTGTGGCTCAGGCCAGCTTCAATAAGATGTTTACACACAGCGCCACCTCGTGGCTGTGCAGGTCACAGGTTTGCGAGAGAGGATGGTGGCAACTGTCATTTGGGTGGGGTGGGGGAGAGAAGTTAGCTGAGCTGTGATTGTTGCTGGTGACGTCTGACCCCCTTTCCTAGAAGACGACACAAGACAATCACATACAAGAGGGAAGAGACGAGAACAGCAAAGGGAGAAAATGCAGCTTCGTTCTGTCTCTGGCGTTGATGTTCACTTCCACGCTCCCTGCTGGAAAAACACAGGGGCAGCCCACAGTCTGACCAGCCACCCCGAGACCTGGCAAACTTGGGCCAGCATCGGGCTGTTTAAGGCATTGCTTTTAGTGGCCTCTTTCGGGTCACAGGCTCCTGGCACTGTTGCAAAATATTCAGCCTTGGCCAGCTACACCAGACACTTATTGGACAGGCGGCAAAAGGAGAGGGATGAAAAAGAGAAGAAATAAGGTGGGGAAGGAAAAGGACACATGGGAGGGACGTCTTGCAGCCCACATGGTGTTTGGGATTCACCTGGAGCTGGGAGAGGAGGGGGTTTCATTTGGGTCCCGCTCTCTGGCCGGGTCTGCTCAGGCCATGTCTCGGGATCAGGATGACAGGGCCGCAGGAGATGGTGGTGGAGGCAGCCATCATGGTGAAACTCACTCCAGCAGCCAGTTTTTCTCCCCACGTATAAGGACCCCAAAGGGGAGCGATGGCGTAATAGCCCCTCCCTGCATTATTTTGTCCACCAATTAGGCCTAGTATCTGACACACCCCTTTTGGTTCATTGCTTTTCAGTCTCACACTGGTCTTGTTTACCAGGCCTGATCCTAACACAGGCCTTGAATTATATCAGACAGCCTCATTGTTTGAGCTAATTCAGTCTTTTGCACTTTTCCCAGTCCACATGTGTTGCAATAGGACGGTTGGTGTGACACACCATGGACTTTCACCCTCTCTTGGCAGCGGCGCTCACACTTCGGGTACATGTGTAGGCCCAGTTATCACAACAGTGCTGGGTGTTGCCTCTGAAATCTGGACCCAGGCCAGTTATGCCCCAGCCAGCTCTCCCCGCCCGAAGGCCGTGTCACGCTGGTGCTCTCTGCTGAGCGAATGTGATGAGCTGCGACTCGTTATTGTACAAGTCGGAAGGCAAAGGGCTGACCTCTCCCTGGCTTGGCTGATGCCAGCAAACTAGCAGGAATAGTGAAAAGGGGGTTGGGGACCAGCCTTCCATAGCTGCCATGCTAACCCCTTTCCATTGGGTAGCTCTGCAAACGGCTGCCATGGCCAGAATGCCCCGCTTAGACCCAGGGGCCCCAAGGCCAGAAGAAACCACTGTGATCACCTAATGTGGCTCCTGTACAGCCCAGAGGCCCACCCCAACATCAAACATAGAGCAGAGCTTTTAGAAAAACATAATGATTTAAAAATTGCCAGCCTCTGTGACAGGCAGGGGCTGGTCTCCCCTTGGGTCCCTGCCCCCTGAGACGGCACCAGAACAACTCCAGCGCTGCACACGGCAGGAAGCTGCGTCAGCTCCTGGCCCAGCTGGAGTTGCGGTCATCCTGCAGGAACACTACGGCTTGCCCTCGGCTCCATCCAAGGGGAGCGCAGAGAGGCTGGTTTTCAATGCCCCCTGCAGTGTCATGTTGCAGTCCCCTCTCCTGGCAAGGGAGAGAGTGGGGAAAAGCAGAGGGACTCGAAATCCTGGGGAGAAATAACCTCCAAGGGGCTCGTGTATATAGAGCGGAGGGGCCCTGCTCAGGACACCTGCAGAGACTTCTGCCAACTGGCGGAGGAGCCTGAGGCGAGCTCTTTGTATGTCTCCATAGGAGAGGGCCACACGACTCCTGGGTGCAGCTACCTCCAGGCATGCTAGGACGGAGAGGCAGTTTTTATTAAGCCAAGGGGTTAGCAGACATCCCAGGTAGGGCTTGCAACTGCCCTGCCCCCACCCCCTAATGAGTCACAGCCGCCTGCAGCAATGGCCAGGAGCAAGTACAAATGGGAATTATGCCCCACCTGGCATGTGCAGGCCGGGGTCCCAGACACTTCCCGGCATGACTGTGATGTACCTTTAGCATCAGTGCACAAACTGGCTGCAGTTCCAAGGCTGCTGGCCCACCAGGAACCTTAGGAGGCCAGCGGAGACCTGCCAGGCCTGCTCTGCGTGAGCACGTCTTTCTCTGGACAGCCTCAGA